ACTCTTTCTTCAATCGCATCACTCTTCGATATCACCTCCCTCCTTACGACCACCCTCTCTTCTGCAACTCTCTTGTTTGATTTCTCTCTCCATTCAAGAACCTCTCTCCAAATCGATCGAGTCTCTGTTCAAGACCAACATCACCAACATTGAACATCATCGACATCAACTACAACTTCAACCTCATCAAACATCAGATCTCATACACTTCAATTCTTAGATATTATAGTTGATGTTGCTCCATTTTTTGGGAATCATTCTGTGATTCGTTTTATGCCTCATTTCCGAACCGAGAATTGGTGACCAATGTTGTAGTTCATCATCTGAGAATTGCGATTTATTTAAGATATGAGATTTGAGAATTGGTGACCTCTCCGCTTTCATGGTTCGTTCTAACATTGAACATCATCGACATCAACTATGAGATCTGATGATGGCGATGAAGCTTGATGATGGCGATGATGTTTGATGTTCATGATGATTAATGTTTGATGTTGCACAATATTGATGATTAATGTTTAAGATGTTCATGGCGATGATGGTTGATGTTTAAAATACACCCAACCCTTACTCTCACACAAGCTTGAGAGACAAATGGCTTATCATCTTTGCTCTTCCCCATCTTCTCGGCCTCCTTACGACCACCCTCTCTTCTGCAACTCTCTTGTTTGATTTCTCTCTCCATTCAAGAACCTCTCTCCAAATCGGTCGAGTCTCTGTTCAAGACCCAATTTCAGAAGATACCCAGAACTCAAATTCCTCTGAATTTCCAAATTCTTATGAAAAGATCAGTTCTTCATCCAAAATTTACATATGGGTCAATCCCAAATTCTGATGAAAAGATCAGTTCTTCGTGGCGATGATGTTTGATGTTGCACAATATTGATGATTAATGTTTAAGATGTTTGACGATGTTTGATGTTCAGTGTTGATCATATAGTAAGCTTTATGATGTTTGATGATGGCGATGAAGTTTGATGATGGCGATGATATTTGATGTTCACAACATTGATGATTAATGTTGAAGATGTAGTTGATGTTGATGATGTTTGATGTTCATAATGTTGTGATGTTTGATGTTGTTTTGATGATGATGATGTAGTTGATGATGTTTGATGATGTTTTTATGATGTTGCTGATTTTTTATGTTGTTTTTTTAGTGATGTTGGTGATGTAATTGATGTTGTTGATGGTGATGATGTAGTTGATGTTGTTGATGTTCGGAAATGAGGGAAATCTAAAAAAGGCCTATAGTAAGCTTCTTGGACAATTCGGTAAATTACAAATAAACACCAATCCAAAATTACCCCTTCAATTATTGACCCAAACGCCTAAAAAAATAGGTACTAATGTCTTCACACATGAAATAGGACTTATTAGTCCAACAAAAAAACGTCGAGACTAAATTAATTAACATTTTCAAATTAGAGATTTAATGGTGCTTTCCCTATTTTTTTTTTTTTATGTTTGAAAAGTTTTTTTTTTTTGACTCTTTTTAAACAACGTTGTTCAATCTAATTAATGAATTAGAGACCACCTAATCTCGGGAGAAAATATCAACTCAAAGAAGGATATGTTTGAAAAGTATTTTGAAAATATAATATATGGTGCAAATGCATATTTAATGTGGTGGGGTTAGTTTAGGAATTATCTTTTTTAATAGTTTTTTATTTTTTATTTTTTTTTTGACTCTGTTTTAAACGATATTAAATGAATCATAAAATATTTTACATAGTATGAGATTCATATTACATATGATCCACATGAATTCTACACTTATATAAATATTACGTAGAATATTTGATAATTCATTTATTATCTATTTTTTAATAAGATAAAAAAAAAAAATTAATGTTTGGAATGACTTTTTTTGATATTTTGTTGTTGTTGTATAATTGATATAATCTCTTGACTTTTTGTTTCTTAAATCCTGAACACTAAATCGATGAGTAAGGATCACCTAGTGCTATTTGTGTTTCTGCAATTTGTAATTCTTTTACTGAGAGTGTACCACATCAAAAGCGTGATAAATGGACGGTGGAGATAAGGCCTTGGATATATATATTCTCTTTTTTCTGTTTATACTCACATTTGTCTTTTAGGTTTGAAATTGGTGAGACAAGGGAAGAGGAGAGGTAATAACAAGGTTGAGACGAAGGGAAGAAAGTCGACATTTTAGTTTAAAAACTTAATATAATTTTTTTTTATTATAAATTTTAATGGACTAGATATATGATTGGATATTTTATTTCAACTCATATTCATTAGTTAAATGTACTAGTTTTCAAACGTTAGGAAAAATTTATTTGACACTTGTGATATATTTTTTTTATTTTTATTGTTGATGTGTCATTCCATAAAGTGAATAGTATTTAAATTAATTGTTAAAATAAAAAGCATATGGTTGGAATGCAAACATGAAAAGTGGATAGGTAAAATAAAATATATACATTATAATAACTTTTAAGGGGTAAATTATACTTTGTACTTCTGCATTTTATATCAAATTTCACTTTGGCATATACACATGAAATTATAACAGTCAACCCCCTATACTTATTGTCAAATCCTACTTTGGTCTGTGTATATGAAATTGTGAAAGTCAACCTCCTGTACTTTTGGTAAAATCTCACTTTGGACCCTACACAAGTATCAATGTCCCCTTTCTATTACTCAATTGTTTAAATTTTTAACTAAATCTAATCATATGATAAGAATGTGACTACAACATGAGGATAAAAAAGAAAAATTATGTACTTTTTCCACCTATACACACTTTATCCTAAAATTTATATTAAAATATGACTGTATTAGGCTAAAATAAAATGCAGATTGTGAATAATTAAGAAGATAAACTAGGGTTTTGTATAAATTGGAATTACGAAATTCTATTTTTTACGGTAACATGGTCTTTTGTCTATTCATCTTTCTTTCTCATTGATTTCTTTGTTGCCTTTTTTATATTTCAAAAGCTCTACTTTTTTGTATTTTCGTCCCAATTTTTATCATACAAACATATATATATATATATATATATATATATATATATATATTGTATTATATAACTCTCACGCGCTTATCATGTAAGACAAAGTGTATTGGTAGGAAACATTGATGATTTTTCTCTCTTACCCTCATTTCATAGTCACATTTTTGTCACAAGACTGAATTTTGTTAAAGATTTAAAAATGAAATAACAGAAGAGGGACATTGACACTTGCGTAGGAACTAAAGTGAGATTTGCATAAAAGTACAGGAGTTGACTGTTACGATTTTATATGTAGGGATTAAAGTGAGATTCGACTAAAAATGCAGGAGATTAACTGTCATGATTTCATATGTATGGGTCAAAATGAGAATTGGTACAAAATATAGAGGTGCAAAGTGTAATTTACCCAACGTTTAAATAGATAGAATGCCTAATAAGATTAGAGATGATGTAATGCAAGTAAGAGATTAAAATTAAAAAAATAAATAAATAAAATAAAAAATTTTAAATGATATCGTTTTAAAAGCCACTACAGAACTTTTAAGGGTAAACTACTAATAGATTCTAATAGTTGAATTTAATTCTCATCAAGTCTTATTGAAAATAAGTCTTGGTAAAATTGTCGTTAAAAATATTTTTTTTGTGACAATTTTTTATATACGCCACTAAAAATTGACAATTAGTGACTTTTTTTGTCATAATTTTTATAAATTGTCGCTAAAACTTACAATTAATGACGTTTTTAAATGATAAATTTTTCCCATAAGACCTATTAGACAATAAGTTTACTTTTTAGGACCTATACGTAAGTACCTCAACTTTTAAACCCACCACATCCACTAACTCTTAAACCCATCACATCCATAGGATATGGAGATATTGCTGTGATGATCTGCTGTGAGTTTGTGGAGGGTTTTTTTGATTTTTTTTAATAATCTAAACCGTTTATATTATAGAGTTTATTGAATAGATCATGCATACAAAAAATCAAATTGATTAGAAATCTATAACTTTATAACAAGAGTACATTTGTTTTTAAAAAAACAACGGTTGACATTATCTTGATAATTTTTATAAAATAATTTGAATTTAATTATGGGGTTATGAATTTTTGATTAACTTATGAATGTTATACTCAACAAACTCTACAATATAAACGCTTTGAACCATCAACCAAAACTCAAAAAAAACTCCACAAGCTCGCAACAAGTCACTACCATGACATAGTCACAACAGCATCTCCAGTTCCACATCGACGAAGGCAAAATCAACCAAACAACTCAGCCTCAAACTCAAGTCAAGTCAAGCCAACCAAACAAGTCCACCTCAAAGCACCAAGGATTCTCTAGAGTGAAATTTCCCTAAAGTTTCCTAAAGTGCTACAGTGTATGGTTGAGATTTATTGGCAAGTCACATCAGAAAAATTGATGTGACTTGCCAGTAAATCTCAACCATACACTGTAGCACTTTAAGAAACTTTAGGGAAAAATCACTCTAGAGGATCCTTGCTCACCTCAAAGTCATTCCTCATCAGGGCTTGCATTAGCTCTAGGCATAGGTGGAAAAGTTCATGGGGACCCTTCTTATATAGAAAAATGCTTGGGAGCACTAATTAGTGCTCCCACTAATTAGGTGGCAGTGGGTCCCGTCATTAATGATGTGATGTTTTGGTCTTTGAGTTTTTTTTTTTTTTTTTTTTTTTACTTTTTTAATGCATTAGTGCTATTAGTGGTAATGTTTTTAGTGGGATGAATCATTGTTGTCTTATATAATATGAACACTTTGAACCATCAAATGAAACTCAAAAAAAACTCCACAAACTCGCAACAAGTCACTACCATGACATAGTCACAACAACATCCCCAGTTCCACATCGACGAAGACAAAATCAACCAAACAACTCCAGCCTCAAACTCAAGTCAAGTCAAGCCAACCAAACAAGTCCACCTCAAAGTCATTCCTCATCAGGGCTTGCATTAGCTCTAGGCATAGGTGAAAAAGTTCATGGGACCCTTCTTATATAAGGTGGTGCCACAGTCCTTGTATTTACACCAAATCTCTCCCACTCTTCTACTACACAAAACCCAACTTCAACAACAATTCTCTTAAATCACTGTCTGCGTTAACACAAATACCAACATCAACAACAAAGCAGAACCGATCACACACCCAGCAATCACACCCCATCCTTCAAAATTAGCCACAAGGTAAGTAAAAACTCTCTCTCTCTCTCTCTCTCTCTCTCTCTCAAAACATGACTTTTAATGATTGACTTTTAACTGATCATGGATGTCTCTCCCATGATTAGTTCTAATTATTTTAAAAATGTCACCAAAATTATAACAGTCATTTATTTTCTTTAGGGGTGAGCAGCGGATATACCGATCCGCCAAAACCGACCGAACCGAACCGATCCGCCGCATTTTGGACGGATGCGTGATGACGAGCGGACGGTTGCGGATTGATTTTCTCCAATCCGCCAATTTGGCGGACGGATGGCGGATTTGAGATTTATTTGGCCGCAACCGAACCGCCAAACCGCCAAACCACGAGCACCCCTAGTAATTTATAAGATTTTGTGTTTTCAATTTGTTTAAATATTATGTTTGTGTTTTCAATTGAAAAAGAGTTTGCGGAGTTTTGAAAGTAGCGTAGAATTTCGAATTATGTGTTCGATTATGAGTTTTGAAAATAGTTTTTGAATTGAATTTTTAGTTATGTATTTGGTTACGATTTGAGTGTAGAGTTTTGAAAGTAGTGTAAAATTTCGAATTATGTGTTTGAATATAAGTTTTGAAAATAATTTTTGAATTGAATTTTGAGTTATGTGTTTGGTTGTGATTTGAGTGCGGAGTTTTGAAAGTAGCGTAGAATTTCGAATTATGTGTTCGATTATGAGTTTTGAAAATAGTTTTTGAATTGAATTTTTAGTTATGTATTTGGTTACGATTTGAGTGTAGAGTTTTGAAAGTAGTGTAAAATTTCGAATTATGTGTTTGAATATAAGTTTTGAAAATAATTTTTGAATTGAATTTTGAGTTATGTGTTTGGTTGTGATTTGAGTGCGGAGTTTTGAAAGTAGCGTAGAATTTCGAATTATGTGTTCGATTATGAGTTTTGAAAATAGTTTTTGAATTGAATTTTTAGTTATGTATTTGGTTACGATTTGAGTGTAGAGTTTTGAAAGTAGTGTAAAATTTCGAATTATGTGTTTGAATATAAGTTTTGAAAATAATTTTTGAATTGAATTTTGAGTTATGTGTTTGGTTGTGATTTGAGTGCGGAGTTTTGAAAGTAGCGTAGAATTTCGAATTATGTGTTCGATTATGAGTTTTGAAAATAGTTTTTGAATTGAATTTTTAGTTATGTATTTGGTTACGATTTGAGTGTAGAGTTTTGAAAGTAGTGTAAAATTTCGAATTATGTGTTTGAATATAAGTTTTGAAAATAATTTTTGAATTGAATTTTGAGTTATGTGTTTGGTTGTGATTTGAGTGCGGAGTTTTGAAAGTAGCGTAGAATTTCGAATTATGTGTTCGATTATGAGTTTTGAAAATAGTTTTTGAATTGAATTTTTAGTTATGTATTTGGTTACGATTTGAGTGTAGAGTTTTGAAAGTAGTGTAAAATTTCGAATTATGTGTTTGAATATAAGTTTTGAAAATAATTTTTGAATTGAATTTTGAGTTATGTGTTTGGTTGTGATTTGAGTGCGGAGTTTTGAAAGTAGCGTAGAATTTCGAATTATGTGTTCGATTATGAGTTTTGAAAATAGTTTTTGAATTGAATTTTTAGTTATGTATTTGGTTACGATTTGAGTGTAGAGTTTTGAAAGTAGTGTAAAATTTCGAATTATGTGTTTGAATATAAGTTTTGAAAATAATTTTTGAATTGAATTTTGAGTTATGTGTTTGGTTGTGATTTGAGTGCGGAGTTTTGAAAGTAGCGTAGAATTTCGAATTATGTGTTCGATTATGAGTTTTGAAAATAGTTTTTGAATTGAATTTTTAGTTATGTATTTGGTTACGATTTGAGTGTAGAGTTTTGAAAGTAGTGTAAAATTTCGAATTATGTGTTTGAATATAAGTTTTGAAAATAATTTTTGAATTGAATTTTGAGTTATGTGTTTGGTTGTGATTTGAGTGCGGAGTTTTGAAAGTAGCGTAGAATTTCGAATTATGTGTTCGATTATGAGTTTTGAAAATAGTTTTTGAATTGAATTTTTAGTTATGTATTTGGTTACGATTTGAGTGTAGAGTTTTGAAAGTAGTGTAAAATTTCGAATTATGTGTTTGAATATAAGTTTTGAAAATAATTTTTGAATTGAATTTTGAGTTATGTGTTTGGTTGTGATTTGAGTGCGGAGTTTTGAAAGTAGCGTAGAATTTCGAATTATGTGTTCGATTATGAGTTTTGAAAATAGTTTTTGAATTGAATTTTTAGTTATGTATTTGGTTACGATTTGAGTGTAGAGTTTTGAAAGTAGTGTAAAATTTCGAATTATGTGTTTGAATATAAGTTTTGAAAATAATTTTTGAATTGAATTTTGAGTTATGTGTTTGGTTGTGATTTGAGTGCGGAGTTTTGAAAGTAGCGTAGAATTTCGAATTATGTGTTCGATTATGAGTTTTGAAAATAGTTTTTGAATTGAATTTTTAGTTATGTATTTGGTTACGATTTGAGTGTAGAGTTTTGAAAGTAGTGTAAAATTTCGAATTATGTGTTTGAATATAAGTTTTGAAAATAATTTTTGAATTGAGTTTTGAGTTATGTGTTTGGTTACGATTTGAGTGTGGGGTTGTGTTTTGAGTTTAAAATATTAAAATTAAAATATTTACAAAATAAAATAAAATATTTAAAATAAAAAAATTAAATAAAAATTATATATTTAAAATAAAAATAATAAAATTTTCCTAAACATTTTTTAATATTTTAAAAAAATAAATCCAAAAATACTGTTTCAAACGCTTTTCATTTCTTCCAAACATGTTCTCCAATCCAAAAATATTTTTTAATATTTTAAAAGGAAGGGCAATAAGGTCATTTATTATAGAAAAAGTAACCTCGTTAGTTCCAATTTGATAGAGGGAGGGAATCTGGAGAATGCTAGGTAAAGTAGGAAAAGTTACTATAATTATTGAAACTACAGGAAAGATCGCTGTATTTATCAAAAATTTCAGGGGAGGTCAGTGTAATTTACCCCATAAAGAAACAATCCCTTCCGATTATCATAGATCAAATATTAATAGAGGGAACAAGATTTTCTCCAATCTAGTGGACCATGCTGTTTGGACTTGTGGAATCGTACCCATATTGGTTTCACTTCAATAATTCAAATTATTCAATTTTTAGACTAAAAAAATAATGTATAAGTTTATTTTTTAAACGTATTTTATAAACTTAATGATATTTAAGTGAAATGATTAGTTGATAATTAGAGAACATATAAGAGAACGTGTTACCTTTAATATCTTAATTGATTGACATATCACTAGATTTGAAAATTGAGTCTAATTTTTGGTAGATAAGTTAGGTAGATTCAACAACTGCAGCCATGTATGTTTATTGCATTTCTCTCTTAAAAAATAGACGGTATAGTTTTCAAATTATATTTGTTATTAATTTTCTTTTTTCTTTTTTTTTTTTTGCAAATAAATGTCATACATCAACGTGATTACGGCTTTCTGATCAATTTATTTTTTTCATAGATAATCTTCCTTCTTTTTTCTTTTTTTTTTGGATCGACAAAAGAAAAATTTATTGACACATCAACTAAGATACAGTAATGAAAGATACATCAAGGGGCAAAGTGAGGATAGCATCATAGCTTTTGATGAGGAGGATCCCAACTAAGTTGGCACACAAACAACAAGTACAATTATATGTTGACCCAAATGCAAAGAGGAACAACGAGAGAGAAAATAAAAGGCAAGTTGCCAAACTAGAAAAATAGAGCAGAAAAGGGGTAGAAAGAGAAAAGAAAAAATACAACACCAATAAAATTAAGGGATTGTTTGTGATAATCTAAATAAGTATACTTTTTGATTTTTTATAAAATATGTGTTGAGTTTAAAGTGATGTAGTAGAGAGGTAATATGATTTAAATAAGATGATATGACTTAGTGACTTTTTGACTTTTTAATTTTTTTAAAAGATGCCAAACTTAAACTAAATTGAATCTGGAATAAAGCTTTAGGAGTGTCACTTCTTAGACTTGATCTTTTGAATCTCATGAATATGTAGATGGAAATCTTGGACTGTAAAACCAGAAGCCAGAGTTAAATTTTACCCATAAAGCTACTAGGAAAATAATCTAGATAATTTGCACGTTATGATTTAAAAAATAAATAATTTAGATTATTAGAATAGGTCCATAATAAGCTCCACAAACTCAAATAACACTGTCTAGTCCACTACAGTGATGAGAATCTGGTTCCTTAATAGAGAATCTGGTTACTTCAACCATGGGTAGGAATTTTTACATCCCAGGTCTTCTATCATAATACATGTGCTGCAGAATGCACGCAAAATTTCTAGTTCAAGTTTTACTTTAAGGGGGTTTTGACGAAATTTTAATTATTATTTTTTAATTTTTAGATTTTTTATTTTTGTTTGATAATTGAGCGTCCAGATCAACTTATGTGCATCTCGATTAACCAAGGGTATTGAAATTAACGACTATGCAAACTTTCAATGGCCACTTAAGGTTGTTTTTCGTTCATGGATTTGAAAAAAAAAAAAAAAATAAGAGTGAAATTGCAGGTGAAAGATACTTATATTTCACACATATTTCACCTATACTTGCTTTTTCTTTTTACAAATTCCTTCACAAATTCATCAACCAAACACAAAGGTCACTCGAACTCGAGATCTTGGATCTTATCCACAAGTCTTATTGCTTGGCCAACCCCATAAATCCATTTAATCTAAATACACTTAAAAAATATAAAATTTGTGAATTTTAAAGAATATATATTTACTAAATACTAAAAAATACATATATTTTAGCATTTTTTATAAATATTTATTCAGCATAAGGTTGAGTCACATGTATTTCATATTTTGTTCATATAATAGAATCTTTCTGTCACATGGATGTAAGGTTGTGCCAAAGGATGTAAATTCTCTTTGTGATTGTGTTTTTCTCTTTAGGGTGTGCATAATGTATTTCTGTTCGCGTTGGTCGGATGTGAAATAAATTTCAACACATTTATGGTACAAAACTATGTATTATTGTAGTTTTATTTATTTATCATTTGTGGCTAAATTACATTTAGTACCTTTGTACTTTTATCAAAATTTTATTTTGATCCCTTCACTTTTAATTGTAACAGCAAACCCCTCACACTTTAAATTAAGTTTCAATCTCACCCTCATACAGAAATTGAAAGAGGAGAGACTAAAGTGAGATTTTGGTAAAAGAATGAGGACTAAAATGATATTTTAATAAAAATGTAAGAATGCTAATAGAACAACAAAAATGCCACATCTGTTTTAAATGATAAATTCCGCCAACTTTATTAACGATAGATAGATGGAAGGATAGATTATCATTTGATTTAAAAATGTAAGAAGCTAACTATTATAATTAAAAATGAAGAGATTAAAAATATTTTAGTGGAAGTACAAGTTACCAAGTGAATATTTTTAGTATTTAGTCAAAAAAATATATATTATTGTTGTTGGGATTTCTGGTGGTGTGTTGGTGGGTGATTTTTTTTTTTTTTTGGGTATGTTTCTCTCTCTCCGTTGTGATGTTTGATTATTTTTAATAAAAGCGTGAATTATTAGAAAATCCTCTTTTAAATATTTGTATTTTAATTAGTTTATAAGATATTTTTATGTTATAATAAGTCTTATTATTTGGACATTTGATTCACCAAATTCTAATATTTAAGGTATTTTATGAATATTTCTACCTTTGCAAATATTTTTTAAAATGTTAGCAATTTGGTAATGTGAACATTCATATTTTATGATGTGAATATTCACATTGACATGTTAACATTCACATTGATGGTGTGGACATTCACATCACGAAACATTCATAGTGTAAATCTGAATATTATTATTAAAGGTATTTTGATAATTATGTCACTTATAAAACTTATTAGAATATATAAAAAAAAATATAAATTAAATAAAACATAAATGGATGAAAAAAGATTTATGAAAAAGTGCTTACTCACTTTTTGCCCATAAATAAACACCACCTACACTTTTGATTGAAATTATTTTTGTTGTTGCAGGAGGTTAAAACATCATCCTATTGAGTTCCATGAATCCTATTGAGTTCACCCAAACCACAAATGAGGCCATTGTTAAGGCTCGTGATCTGGCTTTGTTTGCCGGACACGTACAGTTTACACCTGTTCATGTAGCAGTGGCTTTGATCTCTGATCATAATGCTATCTTTTGGCAAGCAATCCTGAATGCTAGTGGTAGTGAAGAAGGCCCAAACTTAGTTAAGAGTATATTCAATCAGGCAATGGAGAAATTTCCCACCCAAAACCCTCCCCCGAATACAAGTGCAGCAAGTACACCACTAATTAATGCCATTCACTGGGCTCAGTCCTCACGGAAATCCCAAGATGACACACATTTAGCCATTGATCAATTGATCCTTGGTCTTTTGGAAGATTCCAAAATTGGAGATCTTCTTAAAGAAGCTAGGGTCAGTACCTCAAGGGTGAAATCGGAGGTCGAGAAGCTTCGTGATGCAAAACCAACAAAGATAGAAAGTGATTCTCAAACTGTTGAGGTTATTGCTTCTGGAGATATTGTATTTCAAGCTCTGAAGACTTATGGTAGTGACCTCTTAGAGCAAGTTGGAAAGCTTAACCCTATGATTGGTAGAGATGAAGAGATTCAGAGGGTTATTGAGATTTTATCAAGAAGAACCAAGAACAATCCCATTCTTACTGGAGAGCCTAGTGTTGGCAAACTAGCAGTGGTTAAAGGTTTAGCTCAGAGAATTGTTAAAGGGGATGTTCCTAGTAATCTTGTTGATGTGAAGCTATTTGCATTAGATATAAGGGATTTGGTTGCCAAAGCAAACTCTACTCAAGAGTTTAAGGAAAGTTTGATATCAGTTCTCAAGGAAGTAGAAGAGGCTAAAAGAAAAATTATCATTTTCGTTGATGAAATACACATTGTTCTTGGTGCTAGTCAAATTCAAAATTACATTGTTGCTTCCAATCTCTTCAAACCAATGTTTGCTAGAGGCCAGATCAGATGTATTGGTGCAACTACTCTTGAGGAGTATAGGAAATATGTTGAGAATGATACTGCTTATGAGAGGTGGTTTCAACAAGTTAATGTGGCTGAGCCAAGTGTTGCAGATACAATTACTACTCTTGAAGAGCTCAAAGAGACATATGAAGAACATCATGGTGTTAGAATTCAATATCAAGCTCTTGTGGTTGCTGCACAATTGTCAGCTCGATATATCACTGGTACATGGATATTACTATCTCCAGATTGTCTTTTATTATTTTGGGTTTTATGTTTGTGAATTTTGAATGATGAAATTAAATTTTTAGTCATGACTATTGTTAGAATGAGCAATACTAATTCATATACATGTTCTTTTTTTCTTCTCAGAGTGTCGTTTGCCAGACAAGGCAATTGACCTACTTGATGAAGCTTGTTCAAATGTCAAGGTCCAACTTGATAGTCAACCTGAAGAGATCTATAATATAGAAAGGAAAATAGCTCGGTTAAAAATTAAACTTGATGTTCTTGACAAGGAGAAAGACCAAGATAGTAGGGCTCAGCTTGTTGAAGTATGTTGTCATTATTTGTCATTATAGTATATTTAGGATTTGATAGCGGTTACTATATATGTTATTTTAGTGGTAAATTTGATTTATACAAGAAATTCAATAGTTATTCATTAATCTCATTAATTGTATTCAGCTATTAAGTTGTGAGTTACATTACAATCGTTGTGCATTTCATAATCTTTCTTAAAGTATAATTATATAATAATGCAATAGGGTGAATTGAAAAGGTACGAGTTACATTCATTAATGGTGATAGTCATATTGCATATTGATGGACCTATTTTCCTATGACAAATTGCTGGAGTAATTGGAAGATGAGCATCGAATGTTGGAGTTAACTTAGCATATAATAGCATTGATTATATTGATTCACAATTAATTATTTATTTATTTGGGTTATTATACCAACACTATGTAATGGTAATTGTTTTTTTTATTTTTTATTATTATTATTTTGAATCAAAACTTCAACCACTATTTTAGGTAAGAAAACAGTTTGATGATTTGGGGGACAAGCTTCAACCTTTGAAGATGAAGTACACAAAAGAAAAGGAAAGGATGGATGAGCTTCGCAGACTCAAACAAGAAAGAGCGGAGCTCTTGTTGGCATTAGAAAAGGTTCATAAAGGATTCAATTTACCTAGAGTTGTGGAATTGAGACGCGGTCCAATTCAAGAAGTTGAGGAAGCAATAGCAAAGCTTGAAAAGATCATAGAGGAAAATGTAATGGTGACGGATATTATTGGACCAGAACAAATAGCAAAAGTAGTGAGTCGTCGAACTAGCATACCTGTGACGAAGCTTGACCAAAATGAGAAAGTGAGGTTGATGGACTTTGCTAATGGGTTGCATCAAAGAGTGGTGGGACAAGATGAAATAGTCAAGGCTGTTACCGAAACTGTGTTGAGGTCGAGGCTTGGGCTGGGAAGGCCTCAACAGCCCATTGGTTCGTTCCTTTTCTTGGGTCCAACAGGTGTTGGGAAGACTGAGCTTGCTAAGGCTCTTGCGGAACAATTGTTTGATGACATAAATCTATTGATTCGGTTTGACATGTCTGAATTTATGGAGCAACACTCAGTTTCCCGATTAATTGGTTCTCCGCCTGGGTAAGTGCACTGGTCGTGTGTATTGTTGAACCTTGTATTTTAAATTATTCTTTCTGAGATATGAGATTACTACGAGGATGATTGCTTATAGTATGTACTACTGATGATTTCAGCTATCTTGGGCATTTGGAAGGTGGGCAACTCACAGAAGCTGTGAAGAAACAACCATATAGTGTTATATTATTTGATGAAGTAGAGAAAGCACATTCCAATGTTTTCAATACCTTGCTTCAAGTTTTTGATGATGGAAGGTTGACTGATGGCCAAGGCTGCACAGTCGACTTCACCAACACACTCATCATTATGACTTCCAATATTGGAGCTGATTATCTTTTGAAGGCATTAATGAACAAGTGTACAATGGAAAGTGCTCGGGAGTCAGTGAAGCAAGAGGTGAAACAACTAGTAGAGAAACAATGCCATGAAAATTTGAAATTCTCAATAGATATGCCTCTTTTTTCCTTACAAATATAAATAAATAAAATTTACTATTATTGATAGGTGAGGAAGCACTTCAAGCCCGAGTTGCTTAATCGGCTAGATGAGATAGTAGTATTTGATCCTCTTTCTCATGAGCAACTGGCCAAGGTTGTGAGGCTTCTATTGAAGGATGTTGCAATCCGCGTGGCTAAGAAGGGTGTTGCCTTAAGTGTGAGTGAAGCAGCATTGGGTGTTATGTTAGTGGAGAGTTATGACCCCGTAAGTATTATGACTTTCTTTTATTAGTTCATTCCTTCTCAATTTATACTAAATTGTACCTTTTTGTACCTTGTTCATTCCTTTATTGTTGTGTGTCTTCATGTATTGTAATACAACTTTCTTCAACAGAGTGTATTTTGCTAACCAAAAAAAATAAAAAATTATAATTGCTTCCAGGCATATGGTGCAAGACCTATTCGAAGATGGTTGGACAAGTGGGTGGTAAATAAGTTAACAGATACGCTTTTAAAAAGTAAGGTTGATGAAAATTCAACTGTTTATATAGATGCTGCGTCTAACGGGCACGAGTTGACATATCAAGTTGAAAAGGATGGGGGATTAATGAATGGCGCTGGGCAAAGGTCAGACTTCTTTTTTCGAATCCATGATGGGCCGAGGAGTGTGCATCAGTTTCAAGTCCAACAAATTATATAAATTTCACCTTGGCATTTTATCAAACACTTTGTGTGAAAGAAAGAGACAGTGAGGAAAAACAAATAATCACAAAGAAAGGTATAAAGAATTAGATGATCACCAAATTACAAGTTGAAGAACAAACACTGTCAAAATTCACCAATTTGTGTCTATACAAAAAAAATAAAATAAACACATATATACATATACACTTAATCAAGGAACACAAATTCAGATGTGGAAATCATCAGTAACCCATTGAACTCTACTTTAATAACATCTCATATTCTACATGGTAAGCTGTAAAGACTAAAGATCAACATAATCAACAAATACATATACAGATACATGGACATATCTAAGTAAAGAGAGAGAGAGAGGACTCACCGAAAGTGTACCGAGTCGAGCGGCTTGGGAAAGGAAGAATTGGGTCGAAATGTGCATATTACTTGAAATGCGAGTAATCGAGGGGTCAGAGTTCAGATCTGGAGCTTCGATGGAGCTTCGAAACTGCTTCGATGGAGCTTCGAATATCTGAATCTTCGATGGAAATCTCTGAATCTTCGACGGAGCTTCGAAATCGGTTCGATCTGGAGCTTCGATGGAGCTCCGAAATTGCTTCGATGGAGCTTTGAATATCTGAATCTTCGATGGAGCTCAGAGAGGGTTGAGAGAGAGAGAGAGAGAGAGAGAGGGCTCAGATTCAAAATGATGTATGCGTATGGGTTGAGAGAGGGCCGAGATACAAAATAAGGATTGAAAAGGCGCGTGTGGTATACTGCATTTAGAGGCATTTTTATATGCCTCCTATTACAAAACGGTGCCGTTTTGGTTAAAAGAATATTTGGCGTTTATAAAACGCCGTTAAATATTAATAATAGTGACGTTTAAAAAAACGTCGTTACAAAAACGACACCATATCCCCTTTTTCCAACAGTGAACGTTTCGCTTTGGACCCTGAATATTCAAACCCAACCCTGATTAAGTTGGCATATTTCTTTACCCAGGCAATAGCTATGAATTGAGTAAAGTAACTCTTCAATTATGATAAACAAAAAATAAAAATAAAAAAAGTTCAACTTTGACATGACATATAGAGTGCACCAAGATTAATTAATAAGAAGAAATCATCTAAATTAAGTTGGCACATAGATACCTATAGCCAAACAATGGATATTGTTAGACTTGTTTATTTTGATGATTTATTTAATTATGTTTTAATTTATTTGGAAGAGAAAAATAGAATCAAAATTTATTTTGATGATTTATTTAATTATATTTTAATCAAAATTTATTTTGATGATTTATTTAATTATATTTTAATCAAAATTTATTTTGATGATTTATTTAATTATATTTTAATCAAAATTTATTTTGATGATTTATTTAATTATATTTTAATCAAAATTTATTTTGATGATTTATTTAATTATATTTTAATCAAAATTTATTTTGATGATTTATTTAATTATATTTTAATCAAAATTTATTTTGATGATTTATTTAATTATATTTTAATCAAAATTTATTTTGATGATTTATTTAATTATATTTTAATCAAAATTTATTTTGATGATTTATTTAATTATATTTTAATCAAAATTTATTTTGATGATTTATTTAATTATATTTTAATCAAAATTTATTTTGATGATTTATTTAATTATATTTTAATCAAAATTTATTTTGATGATTTATTTAATTATATTTTAATCAAAATTTATTTTGATGATTTATTTAATTATATTTTAATCA